GTGGAGCCAGAGCAGAGTCACACAATTTCTCTTCAGTTTGCCCTGCACTTGTGCACTGATCTCATAGTCTCTCTGCCAAGAAAAGCTGCTGGTTGTGGAAAGAGCCAGGCTAAAACCCCCCACATATCATGCAACTGGCAAGGCCAAAGGGGTGGGGCTCCCCAAGCCTTTCGAAGAGAACATTTTGTCACTATGTGCTCTAATGCTGTATTTGGAGTTAGTGGACCAGGTTGTCCAGCTGGAATTTCATCTTGCATTGGCTTCACCCCTTCTTTCTATGTCCCTTTCCTCCATTTTGGAATTGGAATGTTTATTATGTGCCACTGTATATTTTGATTTTTACAGAGTTTGCTTTGAGTCTCAGATGAGAGTTTATATTTGAACTTTTGGATAAAACTGAAACTAATAAGACTATGGAGGCCCATAGAGATGAACTAATTACATTTTGCATTGTGAAATGGGCATGAGTTTCCAGGGGCCAGGGGCAGAATGCTAGAGTTTAGATGTAAAGTGTCCCCCAAAAAGTTTCTGCTAATACAAGAATGTTCACAGATGAAATTATTATATTTTGGAAAGCTGCAATCTAATCAATCCATCCTAGTTTGAATAGTCTGATTGGATGGTAAATGTAGGCAGGTGGGGTATGACTGGAGGAAGTGTCACTTGGGATGTGCGCTGGAAGGTACATCTTCCCTGTGGCCCCACTCTTTTCTGCTACCTGGTTGCCAAGTCCTGAGTACTTTTCTTTACCATGGCCTTCTGCCATGATGATCTACTTCACATTGGGCTCAGAGTTGGTCTATCATGCTCTGAACCTCTGAAACTGTGAGCCAAAATAAACTTCCTTTTCTAAGTTGTTTTTGTTGAATGTTTTTGCCAGAATGACCACACAAAAGCTGAATAAAACAATTGTACACAACAGCGGTGTTCATACTGACATATTTGTAAATGCATATAACATAGTTTTCTCCATCTCAATCCCCAATACTATCCCTTGCCTTCCTTCTTCCCTTCCCCTGATCTCTGTCCTCTACTCTATTGATCTTCCTATTTATTTATTTTTAATTGATGCATTATAGTTATATATGAAATTGGAATTCACTGTGGTATATTCATACACATACCTAGTATAATCTGATCAACTTCATTTCCCAGTTTCTTTGATCCTTTTTAAATTGGGAAATAGAGACTTTTCTCTCCCTGTAAAACTTGGTTTACCTGTGACTGCTTTGGCCAATATAATATGACAAATAGAACATTATGTTAATGTTGGTTCTTGACTTTGAATCAAGTTTTGTCTTTAAGACAACCAGCAGCTTTTGCCTTGAGCTACTGGTTCCTATTAGGAAAGTCTGCCCTTACTTCTTCTCATAATAATAACATGGAACAGGATAGAGAGAAATAGACTTTGTCAGCTCTTAGTTTTTCTATTCTTACATGTTAAAGTCATCCCAACAAACGCTCCAGACATTATTGTGCAAAAATCAACCCTTCCCTGCAGATCCCTTTTCAATTTCAATCCACCAGAATCATGTTACTTATTTACATAATTGACTAAGACACTAAATTTTGGGGTATTAGGCAGCAATAGCTAAACAGAACATCAAGGGCTTACTCTATAGTTATTAAAACCAAAGAAATGCAAGTCTAAGTCAGTTCAGGCTGTATGGTGCATTCTCCACATATACATTCTATCTTTAGCAAAACAGGAATTGAAGGACTGAAGAAGGTTGAGTTAGTTAGGAGATAGAGAAAGCATAAGAGAGAAGTCAGAAACAAATTGAGTTTGCCAAAGTGAAAGTAGAAATTTTGAATAGTCAGTATACCAGCTCAAGATAGCTTGCATAATCTTACCCTTATGTATCTTAAATAATTGTAAATATTGTTACCCACATCATTTCAGAGCCGGCAACCTCTTCTAAGTATTTAGAGATGAAGAGAAATATATGTCTTGTCTATTTGTTTTAGGAAGACCTAGAAGCTATAACTTCATTGCTTTCATTTAGTATAAATTTGATGCCATATAAGGTAAAGAAAATTTTAATGAATTCTTCATATTTCTTTTATATTACACTGCACTGCAGTCTATCAAATATAGAAATAGAGAAACAAAATGCAAAAATAGGAATACTTTTTTCTTTAAAAGAGGAAGACAGAGAGAGAGAGAGAGAGAGAGAGAGAGAGAGAGAGAGAGAGATTTTTTATTATTTATTTTAATTTTTTGGCGGACACAACATCTTTGTTTGTATGTGGTGCTGAGGATCAAACCAGGCTGCACGCATGAAAGGTGAGCACACTACCTACCGCTTGAGCCACATCCCCAGCCCATAAATAGGAATACTTTTGAATATCTTTCTTTTCTATGAACAAGGGGATGAAAGGAAAATAACACACCAATGAGATTAAAAACAGATTCTTGAGATTCTTTTTGACTTGGTTTTGTTTTAAATATTTCATAGTAATTTTTGATAGTTTGGCCATTTTACTTCTTAAACATCTCTGAAGATAACAGGTGCCAGAACGCTTTAGGTAAACCACTGATCACTTTACTTATGTTAAGCAGTTACTACAATATCATTTTCTTTACTTAATTTCCTTACTGGACCAAAAAATTAATTTTCATTTGAATTGTGAAATGTGAAAATAAAATTATCAATTCATTTAAAATTTTTTCCTCCTTTCTTTAATTTAATTTTGTTTATTATGAAGGAGATGAAACATTTCAGTTGTGTTTCTCTAGCTCATTCTCTCTTCAGCATGTCCTTTATGTGAGATTCTTCTTTTTCTGCCACATGGTACCTTTGAGTGTCCTGTCTTTATTTACTAGAAATCTCTTGGACAGGGGATTGGTAAATCTAACACTTGTGCAGTATTTGTGCATTAAAATAATAAATAACATAATTAGCTAATTTTTCACATGAATACACTTTGTGTGGAAGTGGAATATTTTAAGAGTTTGCTTTGCAGTGGGGAGAAACATTTTGTATTGTGTGTATGTCACTAAGAATTGTCTTAATCTCAGCTTCTCCTTTCTCTCAGTTACTCTCTTTCTTGGTTTCAAATAGCCTGAAAATCCCCATAGCAATAATAAAATTATGCAGATTTCTATGGTTCAGAAGAATCTTTAGAACACTATTTGTTATATCTCCAGCTGCAAAAGTAGAATGTTTTATGAAAAAGCATGTAGAAGGTAAGCCATTGACACTGTTTATATTCAGTGTAATGTGAAATATAAAGTTTTTTATTGCAGGTGGGAGTGCAAGTTGTTATAACCTCTGGGGATGGTACAATGTTAATGAAATCAGAATTATAACACCTGTATCTCTTTACCTAACATTTCCATGCCCAAGAATTTATCCTAAAAAGACTTTCATATATGAAATAGACTTTTATATATATCCTACAAATAGATTTTATACACATGACATGTAAAGTTTTATGTGTTGGAGCAAGACTTGAATTAGCATTGATATGCAATGTAAGGGGACCAACCTAATAAGTATGACACATCTGGAAGTAGCATGTAGTAGGCAGGTTAAAACAGAAAAGGTAAATGTTAAGTACTGATAGGGAAAGATCTCTAAGATACACCTAATTTGGTACACTGATTTATTCACATAACAATATATTTTTGTTCCATTCTTTCTATAAGTAAATATTTGTACTTGTTGGTGTATGCATAAAGGCTCTCTGCAAGGACAAAAAAGCAGACACTAATGTTGCTTGCCCATGAGGGTTACCTGTGTGGGAGCAGGGGCAGGGAGGGGATTCTTATTGTGCAGAGCAGTGACTTGAATCATGGTCTTACTGACTCATGGCTGTGTTAACACTGGGAACTTGCTGTGTAAAGGTGCAGATCAAGATGGCTCAGTTGCTATGGTGATGCCTGCCCATGTAAACTGTGCAAAGGCACAGATTTATATAACTCTGGACTTTGAGCTCAGGCACCAGCTCCTGGGAATAGAGAATTCTGAACATACCCAGATAACCCTTGTGTCTCACCAGTCTTGTGTTCTTCAGATTGCCTGCTTTGCTGAAACTTTCTAAAAAATAACATTTTGATCAAACCTGTATAATAAATGTGCTGAGCTAGCTCTGAGTCAGTCAAACGCTAGTAGAGTTGGACTGCCCAGCTTTTTCTCTATGTGCTTTTCCTCTATTTGTCTTTTCTTTAGCCCCATCACCTCTTGTCTGGTCTTCTTTGAATTAATGCCTGAAGCTGAAAGCAGAGATGCCAGGGCCATGCACATTATCTTTTTATACATTTTGAATTTTGAATCATTATCTATTAAAAGGACAAAACCAAAAAATAATCAGGACATACCTGTTAAACATTTTCATAACTCACATATGAATTGATATTTGTTTCCAATGACATAAACATAGCTTTAAATTAAACTTCTAAAAACATAAAAGTTTAATAATTTTATTGATAAGTCTAAAATTTGTTAGCCTAGAAGGATCACACAGATAAACAGACCAAAATATTATTCATGTATACCAAATGTATGTAGTATACACACATTTCTATACCTGGTTATGTATAAGAACACTTTATAATATATTGTAAATAAATATTATTTTTATAGTTAAAGCTTCATCCCAAGGTTTCATAAATTGACTTCCAGACCACTCATGTATAATCAAATCAAGCCTTTATTGAAGCACACCGGTGGCGGCTGACCAGAACATAAAGCTGTTCCCCTGATCAGCCCTGAACAATTGCAAGGGCACTCCTTATAAGCTTGAAAACCGCAAAAGGGATATTCGGGGGGTCTAGCCAATGCAAGCAAGCCAGGTTACAGAAGTGGGACAGTGCAGTAAAGCAGAGCAAAGCCTAACCAATCACAGTTATCCCAGTCACCCCAGTTACAGAAACAGAGCCCCATTACCCTAGTTACAGAAACAATGCCCCATTAGGTAGTTCCATGTTCTTAAATGTTTCTATAGCAAAAGAAAAAAAAACATCTTGCTCCAGTCATGACTCTTCTACTTGGCATGGTTGTTTTACAGGATGAAGTCATAAAACAAAATGGAGTCACATTTGCTCCTACTATCATATTATCATATGATATTCTTAAAAACAAATTCAACATTAGGGTTTCATGGTTAGTGTTCCATATATAAATGTTTACCTTTGTTACCTAGGAATATATACTTTAACACAACTAGAGCACATTATTCCATTTAGAATTTTTCTGTTATCCAATTTCCTTTGTTGTACATATTCTAAACAATTTGAGAGGCAATATACTTATATATCTCAACTTTCTCATTGTCTGGAAATATATGCCTCAGAAGAGTTCTCTTGATCCCTTCAGGTCAGACTCTCTTTCTGATCACCCTAAACAAGGCATCCTTCACTTCCTTGTTCCTCAAAGTATAGATCAGTGGATTAAGAACAGGAGTGACCACACTGTACATGATGGCAATGATGCGATCCTGGTCCCTGGAGTTCCCTGAGGTAGGGCGAATGTAGGTGAAGATAACAGGAGCAAAGAAAAGAATAACCACCATGAAGTGGGAGGCACAGGTGGACAGTGCTTTATGAAGTGTGCTGCAGGACTGGGTCTTGAGGAAGAGGTAGGTGATAATGTAGAAATAGAAGAGAAGGGTCAGAAGGAAGGGGCCAACAGCGATGGTCCCCGTGACAGTATTGAGCAGCCGCTGGTTGAGCTCAGTGTTCCCACAGGCCAACTCCAACAATGGCTTTACATCACAGAAGAAGTGATGGATGTGGTTGGGACCACAGAAGTTCAAGCGAGATGTCATTATGGAGTGCAGCAAGGCATAGAAAAATCCAGTGGCCCAAATGGTGATAGCCATCTGGGTGCAGAGCTGGGGATTCATGATGACAGTGTAATGAAGTGGTTTGCAGATAGCTACAAAGCGGTCAAATGCCATCACTGCCAACAACATGGCCTCTGTGCTACCCAGGAAGTGGAAGAAGTGAAGTTGGCTTATGCATCCCATGAAAGATATTGCTTTGTGTGTAGAGAGGAAGTTCTCCAGCATCTTTGGCAGTGTCACTGTGGAGTAGCAGATATCTAGACATGACAGGTTTCCCAGGAAGAAATACATAGGTGAGTGGAGTCTAGGATCAGAGATGACAATCATCAGGATGGCTCCATTCCCAGCCACATTCACAAGGTAGATTGTGAGGAAAACAGCAAAAAGAAAAGGCTGTTGGTCTTGTATGTCTGTTAATCCCAGGAGGAGAAATTCAATGACTGAAGTCTGATTCAACATCACTTAAAAGAAAAGAAGAAGTAATTCTGAAACATTATTCCTAATGAGGATCATTCTTTCTAATGATGATTTTCTTGCTAAGACAAAAAATTTTGAGGGAGATTGTGGTAGTTTTGCATGAAACCCTGCCTCAGATCTTGTATAGTATTTAAATGTTTAGGCTACATGTGTTGTGGATCAGTCATTTTTAAAAAATTGGATTTGTCATTAATATTTTTTCTTTTTCTTAGGGATTTAGAGCAGGTTTTCAGTCTACCATCTTCTCTAGCTATGAACATCTACATTCAAAAACAACTTCCTTTTCATCTCCTAAGTCAGCTGTATGAGGTGGTAATTTCTTCTACCACCTTCTGTGATCTCCTTACTGAGTGAGAAGCAACCTGGAGAATTTTACTTAAGAAAAATAGCCAGGGATGGAATTATTGCATCATAAAGTTCTTAAATAAATGAACAATCCTTAAAACAGGGGCAATAATTTTTCTGTAGTAAAATGGGGCTAGGGCTGTTCTCTCATCTCTTTCTAATTGACATTCTTGGAAAAGTCACAGAGCCCTATTTGAGTAGGAAATGAGATCACACTAATCATTATTAGTATAGGTATATTTGAAATTTTATCACGGCTATATCCAATTTTATGGGCTTAGTTTCTTGTATAATTTGAGCCTTGTATTTTCTCAAGTAGGATCTCAAATCACTTTTTTTATGAAAAATGTTTTTCTCTTGTCTAGTTGCCCTGAGACTCTTTTTTAAGATGCCCAAATCCCTGAATCAACTTTCTTCCTCCTATGAGTTAAAGTTTCTCCCTTACATTATGTAATGCTATCTTCTTAAGTATCTATTCCTCTAATCCTTTAAAATCCTGTCTTCTCTTTGACACATTTTAAGTCTCATTTTACTTTGCCTGAAATAAATTCAGTCCTCAGGAATAGATTATCAAAGAATATTCTACCTCAAGTGGAAATCACCTCCTTGATTTTTGGTTCCTTTAATGCATCACCAGCAGTTATATTGTTTTTCATGACACCAGAAGTCTGTCTGCTTTGTATCAGCTCTCAGCAAATTTGTCACAAATTTCCAGATCTCCTCAATTGCAAAAGTGTTTTCTGTCTGTTCTTTCTTTCCATTAAATAAAATTCTTGTCTTCTATTAAATAAATGCATTAATTTTCATTTCTTTTACAGAATTGAAATAGCATTTACTTTGTGAATGCTGAGACTTTTGAGGAATTGTAATTATTAATTATGAGATTTGGTATTTGACTACATTGTTCATTGAGAAAACTCTTGATTTTTTTATTCTATAATGTTTGTAATGTACCTGGTGTTATCTCATTTATCTACACTGAGAAAAGCAGACAAAATTCCAAGTAGCTCTTGGTTCCTCCTTTAACAGGTACAGTTAAAGATGGTTATATTTAATATTCTACTCATTTATTACTATTACTTTAAAGAGTAAAAGGAAGTAGTTAACTTGATAATTGGGAAGGGAGGAGAAAGGACATATGGGGAACTTGTAGATGGGGGAGAAAGTGAGAGAACAAAAAGAACTACAAGGAAATCTGAAAAGAGATGCAGACATTAGGGTGTTTTCTAAAAAAAGGACAATCGGTTGAGGTTTGAACAGTCACAGAGGAAAGAAGAAGCTGAGTAAAAAAGTGAATGAACTAGGGACTCCTTCCTGGGAACCTCTGGGACTTTTGGCTTTATTTTGGAGAAGATTTTGGGAAATTAACATCTATTATACCTCCAGGAAGAGCTGTCTTCCAATAATTCAGAATAACTTTCTTAATAGCCATTCACAAGGTGTATAGTTCAAGAATTTTATCACCCTTTCAAATAAACCAGTGCTCTACCAAACATAAATCTTGCTTCTCTGACCCAATAAAATTGCATCAAAAATCTGTTTGATGACAGAAAAAGATAAAACAAACAAGAAGACAAACAACAAATTATTTTTTCCTAACTTCTAAAGAATGTTAGATCTTACACTCCTCTGTATGACATAGTTTCTTTCCCTACAATTTCATTATTTAGAGGTTACAGGTTTGCCTTGAGAAATATCTAAAAAAAAAAACAGGCATGTTAAATTGATAATGACTTATATCATTAAAGATGTAGGAAGTAAAGTGCTTTCAAAATCTATGAGAAATCATCATAATATATGAAACCGGCTTTAAATCCTGAACAATTAGCTATAATGCCAACAAGCAGACAGATCACTTATTAGAAAATATGAGATAGAAATATCAGATAGAAAATATGGGCAACTTTTCAGTCTTCTCCTATTTCTTTCTCTTACCTGATGGAGTGTTCAGAATCACTGAACAGATACAAAAACTTTTCAAGTTTATAGCCTAGTGATTAAACATGACAGAAAAATATTCAAAGTGATATTTTATGATGAGAATTTAGAATAAACTCTTTGTATTACAAAACCTCTTCTGTGCTTTCTGAAAATCTGCTGGCCTTTTAATGAGTCATGGCTCTCTAGATAAAAATCCTGAGAGATAGTGTGTCCCCTGGTGCAGAGAAGGATTCTTGTACGAATAAACAGGTACCTTTCCACATTTGAAATGATAAGGGAGTAGTGTTATGATATTCCTCTGTGGAGTTCTATTGTTTTGTAGTTCTTCCTATTTTCTTTTCTTACTGCATTTGATTCTTAATTTCAGAGTCATGGTCAGTACAAGTGTCAATAGCCTAATTCATTTGCTTAGTCAAATTTCCTTTCATTTCCTAAGATAAAGGTGTAGACATATTTTCTTGGGCACTCCCTTAGAACATACATTGGAATTTAAAGTAGAAAGAAAATTGATAAAGAAAATTAATCAGTGAGTCACATATCCTATTAATCAATAGAGAAAGATGGTTATATTTAATATTCTACTCACTTATTACTATTACTTTAAAGAGTAAAAGGAAGTAGTAGTGCTTTTGTTTCTTCTGACTCTTCACTGTTGGTAATAACCCTAGATTATTTTCTCTAATTTTGGCATCCAAAAGTTTACATTTTTCTCTGCTTAGAGAATACTATTGGTTTTCCTAATGTGTATCTTTATTTCTTTTTATATCTTTTAGGTAAAAGTTTCTGTCTGATTAATCCAAGGGTTAACTATGTGGATCTTCCATCTATAGAAGGATCCTAATAGCAGTAATAAATGTGTAATGTACTTTGTCCATATTTTTCCTGGGTTTTTAATTTTGTTGCTCTGGTAGGAGTTCATTCTATATGAATCACATTAATCGGTCCTTGTTATTTTATATGCTGCAAATATAATGCAAATAAATAACCTCCACTGCAGGCTCCTTAAGTGTAAGTTATTTTTCTGAATTCCTAACGTGTTCATTTAATTCTCAGAAAAGGCTGAATGAAAAAAGTACTAAAACCGTTACCATTTACCAGAAGCAAATCAAGGCTCAAAGGATTCAAGTAAACTTCCATTTTTTGGTGATAAATTACAAACTAAAACTGAGGCTATTTAATTCTAGAAATCACTGAAATACAGTCTTAATTCTTTAGAAACATCACCCATATCAATTTGTTCTTTTTTTTGTCTTGCACTGAATTCCACACATTTATCAGATGTAGAGTTTAATATTTGTCATTTACAACTCTAGGTATTTAGAGGTCACATTATACATGCTGTAAGCAAAGAATTGGCATTACTTTGTCTCTGTGAAGACAGACAGACTAGCTTTTCCTTCTTCAAAGATGAGTGATATCATCTTTATAATATTCAAGGATCCCAAATGCATGCTGTATTTCTCCACTTGTTATTTTTTTCATTAAACAAGCTGAGTTCTAATTAATATGACTTTATTGTATCTTAATACCTTAAAGGTCAAATCTTTACTCTTTTTTTGTACAAATGCCTTAAAGAGTTAAGACAGCTCTTCTCAAAAGCGATTTTGATATTATAGAAAACTTTGTTTATAGAAGAAAGATCTGAAGCCAGAAGAGAGCAGAAGGTGAGAATTGAGGCTAGTGGATAAAGCCAAGGTTTCTGAATATGATAGTATAGTGAACAGGATCTAATAGACAAAACCCTACCTACAAAGGGAGGAAGTTTCAGTGTTTCTATTTTGGAACCTAAACTCTCAGCTAAAAAAATGTATTTTTTGATTCAGTGCAACTGAATCAGTTCAGTTGAGTATATTTATACTCCTAGAAACCCCCAAGATAAGAGAGTTTTTTGAATTTACTTAAGATTAATGTTACACCAAGATAAGGTGTATCACAAACACTGATGCCAGGCTATTTATATATCCTTGGGATAACTTGCCTAAATTAAATATTTCTGAATATTTAAATTATTTATTTCTAGGATATCATGAAGAATATTTAACCTCTAGTATAAATATTTATTTAATATATATCATTTGCATCTCAAATTCAAAAATAAAAATGGTACAGTATTATAAAACTGCTTTCTGATTTAAGTAATTTTAGGCTTTAGTCATTCGTGAAGGTGCTCTGATAATTTCCAAATAATTTTTTGACTTTATAAAATTTCCCATGTGCTCATTTGCTTCTTATGACTACTTATAAATAAATTCTGCTCTATCTGATCCATAACTTGACATAGGAAAGAACAGAAAATTACCAACAACTTTCTTATTAAAATGATAGTCATTAAATGACTTATAATAAATAATTTCTGTTAATAAAATTCTGTTAATTTCTGTTAATAATTTATACTTTCAGAGCTTAAACTTTTACCAGCTTCTTCTGAACTGAAATTCATTATTTTATAATTATTATAGAGAGAAAATTTGAAATGCTTGTTGTAATTAGTCAACCTAACTTCTGTTAAAGTTTGTTCATCTTCAATCTTTAAACATTTATAAACATCATTTGGACAAATTTTAATTTAATATTAAATAAATTCAAAGAACACAAATGAATTTATCTTCATCAAGATATATTATCAGCAGAATAAGAAAGTCAACCACAAAATAGGGGAATATTTTTTCCATCTACTGTCTGAGGATTTATATTTAGATTCAGATCATATAAATTTGATTAATAGACATATTACTCTAAAGAAAAATGGGTAAAATACTTAATCATATAATGTATAAAAGAGAATATAAAAGTAGTTAATAAATGTAGTAAAGTAGTTCTTTATTGTAAGGGAAATTACACTTAATATTATTATGTGATCTGACTATACACTATAGTGCTAAAAAAAAGAGGGGGATCATACCAAATGTTGGTTTTGGTGTCAAACAATGGGAACCCTCATTCTTTGTTAGTATAGAAACCAGTAATAGTATGCCATAAAACTGACAGAGACATCTTTATCATCCAATAATTTCCTTCAAAGTGGTAGAGGGATGAGGAAGAGAAAGAGCCAAGAGAGAAACATTCTAGAAATGAGGTGA